TAAGATAAATGCTTAGGACTTCTAGATCAAAACAACAGTTTTTTTTCTTTCTAAGGCTATATAGCTATATAATCTTGCATAGAAGAAAATGATTTTTTGGGAGGGCGGTAAAAAATAACATACTCAAGAGTATGTTGCTTTAAAAAAAAAACACATTAAAGACTTAATTAGGTCTCTTGTGCATCAGCACCGCTTTCTAAGTTGTCTTCTTAAGCCTTTCTAAACTGTTGAAGTAATATTTGATTCCAGAGCCTGCAGAATTACTGAATATATCTTAATAACCTGTATATTCTGAGATTATACAAGTCCATGTAAATCTCAAAATACTAACTTAAGTGAGGTATAACATCCGTTTAAGGGTAGGAACTTCACTAGACCCTTAAAATTCCCTTCTTTAGAATTCCATGTTTTAAGGCATTACTTAGACATTTGAACATTGAAAGGTCATCCATGGCTCATCTCTCTTTCTGTGTATTCAGAAGTCACATGTGACAGATACAGATGTTCTTCAGGGGGTAATCACTCTTTCTTTCTGAGGGGTAAGATTATAACACTGATGTGACATTGTAGTAAAGGGTTTTAACACACAAGAGGCAAGAAAATCAGAATTACAGTTCCAGAGCTACACTATCCCTTAATATGTTTAGGTTTTGCATGCAAATACATAACGAAGCAGAATTAGTTATGGTTCCCATGGGAACCATAACTGATTCTCCTGACCTGTGCAGCAAAATTCGCAACATCAAAAGATTAAAAATACTGCGTTCACAGGTTCCTTTCCCTCCCTGCGGCCCCCCCCCCCGGATAATTCCCTCTATCCTCAAATTAGGGAGAAGTGGGCAATCAGTTACTAAAAAAAAGTTCAGACATTCATCTTGGTGAAAGCTGTAAAATATTTTGTTATATTTTGTTTACAGTAAACTGTAAAGCAAGTACTCCATAGCACTTATAAGCCAGGAGTTCATACAAGTATTTAATATATCTTGATCTGGGTAAATTAGTAATAATTTTAGTATATTTAAGAATAGGCCTTCCGAGTACATTATAAAACAATTCTGCTCTCCAACTTTAAACTGTATAGATGTATTTTTGCTTACTTCCCTGCCTAAATCTCAGATGCATCTCACACCATATTTCTCCAGGTCTATCCCCTACAAATACATGTGTTATCATTAGTTGAATAGTAATTAAAACAACTTCTCCAGCAACCAACTGCCCTTAAAAGTCCATAATTTAATGTCAAGCAAAGCTTTACAGGGACTTGAGATCCATGAATGCATCATTAAAATGGTCCAGGAGGGGTTGCCATCTGATAACCTCTGCTCCTATGAAATTCAAAGAAACTGTTATTTGTTAAAAAAAATCGTTTCAAAAGGCATCTTAACTATGCCACATCATTTTCCCAATAATGTTATTTTTCATCAGTAAGGAGATTGCCTTTTCTCAAGCAATCCGTCTTACCTGAACAGACTGGGCACAGTTAAATGAATACACGAGTCTGACTTTACTTCTTTTTACATATATGATGAACTACACAGCGTGCTGAAAGGAGGCTAAAAAAATCCTTAGTGTTTTCTACTGTAGTGCACATAAAATGGCGCACAGTCCTTTAATTTTTTTTCCCAACAAGTCTCAGTAGAAATGGCAGATTTATTAAAGCCAAAGATAATGTCCTTTCTAGTAGCCTTACTTTCTGGATCTGAAATTTTGGTCAGAATAATGCTGGGGAGGGGAGATGTGGATGTATCTTTTTAAAATGGAGATGCCAAGTTATAAGTTTGAAGAAAAATGTTGATTAAATCCTTATATACTTTAGGTGTGCATGAACTTACCAATGTAGTTTTATTGGAGGCCATTTTTATTGCAGACTTGCAGAGCTTTTACTAGAAAAATGCATGACAATTAAAAGGAAGTTTACATTACTCAAAGAAAGGCATCCCAATACAAGCATGGTCCTTGTTCCAACCCCCATGTATTCACTGCACATAACACTCCTAATACGGATTAAATCCAGAACAAAAAGTAGGTTACTACTTTGTCCAGCGTAACCCAGTAACACACCGTTATGCTAGCCAGGATACACGATACCGACAAAGTCGTATATAGAGTTGAAAAAAGGTTTTCCCAAGGCCTTCTAAGGCTCAGAGATGTTTCTAGGGAAAAGGGGGAGGACCATCAGGGATGCATATTTCCTTAAACCCAAGAGAAGAAGAGTAGAGATTCTAGCAGTTAATCAAGATATACCTAGATGTATTAACTGCGAATCTGGTGGGGAGCAGCTACATATCTGCAGTGTAATAAGGAGTCACCCATTACTCTTACATAGTAGTAAATGCTTATCAACAGCCAAACGTTATCTTAATGCAACTATAACGTTGCCTTCTGATTTTCAAGTTTGCAAGAGTTAAGGTTCCTATAGCAATACTAACTCAGCAGCTAAGCTGTACATACTATGTATGTAACCTAAGCAAATGATGTTGAACGCGATCCATCCCCTTTTCCACGTCGTTTCTCATACTGGCCACCTCTGTAGGCATGTATTATCCCCGCCTGACTGCAAACTATAGAGCTGTTACAATTTTGCATTTGCCCGGGCAAGGCAAGAGAAGTCCTTCTCCAAGGCCAGAAAGCCTCCTCGGCTCTGCGATCCCGCCCAACTCGCCTCTTATGTGAGAGGGGGGTTTTGGCAGCCCCAAAGGCGGTGGGGTGGGTGAGGTGGGAGGGCAGGGATCAGGGCCCCGGCGCGGTGGGCCATGCCATGTCTCCGTCTGAAAGGCAAGGGAGAGGGGAGAAGCAGCAATTCCCCCCGCCCCCCACCCGAAAATAAAACGGAATAACCCCCGGGAGGCCTGGGGGCGGTGGG